AAAAAAAAAAAAAAAAAAAAAAAAAAAAAGAAACCCAGAGACAGCCCCTCAGTCAGGGGAGCAGGGGAGGACACAGCCAGAGGGCATCCTCTGTAAGGGAGAGTGGTTCACCAGACCCCAAGGCTTGTCCATGCCTTTATCTTGGACATCCCAGGCTCCAAAAACTGGGACAAATTTGTTTGCCAAATTGTTGATGGCATTTTGTGCTATGTGCCCACAAAAAGCAAGAAAGTTCATTAACAATGAGTGAATGTGTAACTTGGTATAACTTCTTATGGCCTAAGGTGAGAATTATGCAGAATAAAGACTATGGAGGTGTGACACTGAGACTCTGGAAAGGCAGCAAAGATTAAGAAATGCACAGTAAGAAATGGTATGGTGGGGGACCTGCTGAAATAGACTCAAACTTCAAGGAGATTATGGGCCAAATGAGTAAAACCTCTGGGAAACCTATTATTTCATGTTTCTGAACAGCAAGTTTTTCTCACCAGCTAGGATTCAACCACTGAAAAATGGAACGTGTGACACATGTTGTACAGCATATTGTCAGTTATATTTTCACATTTTCCTTACTGAAAAGACTAAATGTTCACTTATTTATAGTAAGCTAGGTATTTTTCTTGCATGATTGTTTTTGCCAAAAATCAAGGTCACTGGAAATAAGTAACCTTGAAATAGCAAAGCAAAGCTGGTAGCATGGTAACCAAGTATGTCACTACTAAGAAACATCCCCTTTTCTCCCTCCCTCCCTCCCTCAGGCAAACACAACTCTGGCTCACAAATCACCCCTGACCATCAAGGGTTGCAGAAACAGCCCTGCTGTACCCAGGATGCACACCAGGATGAAGACCCACAGAAAGATGCGATCAATCACCATGGCGACATATTTCCAGTCGTCCTGAATCTGAAAAAAAAAAATCATGAGAGGGAGGAGATTTAGCTCAGTGGCATTGCCCCTGCCTCAAAAGTGCAAGGTCCTGAGTTTGATTCCTAGTACTGTGCACAAAAAAAAAAAAAACAAAAAAACAGCAGCAGCAGCAGCATAATGGAAAGACATAGTGAATACATTTTAAGTATTAAATGCTTAATGTGATGCAGTAGCAGGAAAAACCCTTTTACGTATAATAGGCAAAAAGTTTTTTTTTCCAATTGATGTGGCCTGAAATCTATTCTCAAGTTTTGCTTTATGTAGTTCATAAATAGGTATAAAATATTTGTCGTATTCTGTTTCAAATCAGAAACTTATTTTTATATATGCCACCTATTTTTTCTTTTTTGTAGGGGGGTTGAGACAGGGTCTCACTGTGTAGTTCAGGCTGGCCTCAAACCCATAGCAATCCTCCTGCCTCATCCTCCTGAGTGCTGAGATTATAAGCATGGGCCACCATGGCCGGCTAAACAACTATTTTTTCTAAAGTGAGTTCCAATTATGTAAAGTTAGTAAAGCCAATTACATATGTCTCTGTGGAAGGATTTAGGACGTTTGATGGAATGGCTAATATAACCCACCATCTACCACTATTTCACAGTTCTTGTTTTTACCCTGATTTAGGTAATTTCCTTTTCACACCTGTTGCAGAGTGAACCATGCCTGTCACCAGCCCACCGACCCTCTCTTCCCCACCACTCCTCCAAAAGGCCCAAGTGTCATCTTCAGTGCAAGGCCAGAGCACTGCAGAAGACCGAGTTATTAAGCAGGTCAAACACCAGAAATAACTGCTGCAGTGAGGTGAAAGGAGGGAGAAAAAGAGCAAGACTAATTGTACATAACACAGATTTGATTTAGGCTTGAAACAGGAAGGAGAATTGTATGGTAATTAAACTCCCAGACAATTGAGAAAGCAAAGAAACCATAATTGAGAGACAGAAAACTCATGAATCAACTGATTTTGAAGCAATAATCACATAAAGAGGCCAGCATGTAATCCTGGGAGATGTGGGTTTACTTCACCACTGTAAGCCCGTGTGTCTGTGTTCTCTGAGTGACATAAGATATGGGGAAAGTAGGAATTGTCATATCCTATTTGCCACGTTACTTTATTTGATCTCCTGAGACCCCAAATCTACTTACTATAGACTGATGCCTCCCCATGCCTTGCAGACTTAAACCTCTGGAAGGTTCGGGAAATGAGGACTGGAAAGCAGAGACTCTTGGAGACAAACTGATTATATAATCTCAGCTCTGTTCCTTCCTAGCTGAAATGTGAGTAAATTCCTTTCTACCCTTAGTCTCGATTCTTCACCTGTAAAATGGGAATGAGAGCAGTGGCTGCCTTAGGGCGTTTCAGCACAGGGTCCTTACCAAACAGAACCTATTGATTTTAAAAATGACCTGTATCGCTGTGTACAGTACTTCTGAGAGCAGCTCACAAGGTTTAGCCTAGTGAAGAAAGCTGGGGGAGCTGGCATGATGACCTGAGTGAGCAGGACAAGTTTGAAGCCAGTAAGGTCCTGTCAAAAAAAAGTAGCAAGGGCTGGGGTTGTAGCTCAGTGGTAGAGCACCCCTGGTTTCAGTTGAAGCACTGTGCGTGCATGCGCACACCCAGACACAGGGGCCCAACACTAACTCCTCCGCCTGTAAGGCATGGTGCCAGTGGCCAGTCTCTGCAGACTGGGGAACCAATGCTGTCACAGATAGAGGGTGCTGGGCACAGAGGTGAATGGGCCCAAGCTCCTGGCCTCTGAGCCCAGCCAGACCCTGGAGACCACCTAGAAGCATGAGGTGACTTTCTGGCTCAGGAGCTGGGGAAGTGGTGGGGACCGCAGCCACTGAGGAGGTTCCTGTGGAGAGGACATGGGGAGAGCTGTGCCTGGTGCTCTTTTTCCTGCCACTCCATCCAGAGACACAGGGTCTGGCTGCTGGGAACAGCAGGAAACAGAGCCCAAGGCTTCCTACTCCCTGCTCAGTCAAGAAAGAGTTAGTCTGGGTGCAAGGGACTGGGGGGAGGCCTGATGTCCCTTCAGATACAAGGCCACCAGCAGGGGAGGCAGCACCTTGGTGACTGAGCCCAGCATGTGGCCCAGGCAGCCTTGGCCTCATGCAGCTGGAGTTTTGTCCCCTACTCCAAACACAACCCTATCTGGCTGACAAATTCCCAGAAAACAGACCAAGGACTTAAAACACTCCATCCCCAGAGGTTGGAGAATCTGGAAACACGAAGGAGGAACAAGCATTTTTAGAGAAGAGCCACATGTGAAAGGTGTGAGAAATGACAGGTATGAACCAGTGTAGAAAATAGAAATGTTGTGACGATGAACTCAGGAGAGGAGCGGGTGCGGTGGAGTTGGCAGATGCTGGCTGGGAGACAGAGGAGTAGAGGACAGGATGAGGGGAAGAGGGGGCTGCACACCAGGAGTTTGGGAAGTGAGAAGGAGGGGACAGGAAGCCACCAGCACTGAAATAACCTGGGCTGGATAAAGAGGAGCCCTCAGCAGGAAACGGCTCCTAGGAACACTAAGCCCACTTGGTGAGACGCTCACCTGCCAGATACCTGTGCTTGGTGTCTGTGGATCTCTCTACAAATAGAAAATTCTATTCTAGATGGAATTATAGACACAACACTCAGATTAACTTAAAACTTCCAAAAGTGACAATGACCATGAATGACATTTTTTAAGTACTTAAGGAAAAGAAGTCCAACACCAGCATTTGTACCCAGCTAAACGCACCCTTGAGTGAAGGGACAAAGCAGGGTGTGGTGGTGCCCACCGGTAATGTCAGCACTCTGGCAGGTGGAGGCAGGAGGATCACAAGTTTGAGCCTAGCTTGGGCAACTTAGTGATTTACTGAGACCCTGTCTCAAAATAAGCCAAAAAAGGCTGGGCATGTAGCTCAGTGTGAAAGCACAACTACGCTCGTGTGCACACAAAGGGAAGGCACATAAATTAAGCCTCCCAGGCCTCAAAAGGTTTACCTGTAAAAGCTCTTGAGAAGGCACACCACTACAAGGGGAAATAAATCTGAGCTCCTAGAAGGATAAGTTCAGTAAAGATCACTGGACCCTTAAATGAATTGCATACAGGATCCTAATGCCCTCAGTGAATATGGACATTATATGCCATCAACATGATGTAGAACTAACAATATCAAGAATGAAAAGGGGGAGAGGGGAATACGAGGGAAAGGGAAGGGGATTTTTAAAAAGCTGTGTTATGTACATGCACCAACTCCATAGATGACTAAAATACATGTGCTGCAAACATGTACTAATACGTTCTTAAAAGGAATTGCAAGAACAACAGCAACAAAAGTACATTCACAAAAATCCAAAAACACCCAGAAACACGTATGTGGCTGAAGCCCTGAGGATGACTGCGACAGCAAGAGTGGGTAGAGGGACATGGTACTGAAAGGTCAGACCATCGAGACGGACTGGAGCCTGGGTGGGGTCTGTGTCGGCAAGGAGCTGCCAGAAGGAGAGGAGCACAGCACAGGGCTTGCATGCGTTCTATTCAGAGCAAGTTCGAGCTTTCAATACATGGCAAAAAGTGAGGCAGAGAGAGAAAATACATCTCGTAAGTGGAAAGCGTGGGAATACAATGGCAGCAACATGACCCTTGGACAATAGTAACTGCAAGACATGTAAGTCACTGCTCAAAGGTCAGGCTCAGATCGGACTGAGTGAATACATCAGCGAAAGAGAAGACAAATGGCCTCAGAATACAGTAATTATCTTAAAAGAGTATGGCTGAGCCAGGTGTTCTGGTGCCTGCCTGTAATCCCAGCATTCTGGGAGGCTGAGGTAGGAGGACTGCACCTTGCACAAGTTTGAGCCCAGCCGGGCAACTTAGTGACTCAGCAAGATCCTGTTTTAAATTTAAAAAAGGAACTGCGGATGCAGCTTAGCGTGGAGGTCTTGGGTTCAAACCCCAGACACCACCCCCCTGCAAAAAAAAAAAGGATCACAGAAGATCTGTACCAAGATAGCCAAAAATGATAAGCTGTCAAAACTGTTCAAATGGGCCTGGGATTTAGCTCAGTGGTTCTACCACCTGCCTCACAAGAACAAGGTCCCAAGTTCGATCCCCGGTACCAAACCAAACCAAAAAAACTTCATTAAAAACCACTTCCAGGGCACATGGGGAGCTCTAGTTTTCTAACTTGGTAACCCGATTCTAGCTGTAACTCTGAACTAATGTGTTAGCACTACTTAGCCCCTTACAGGTGAGACCAGGTGCAAGCCTGTGCAGATGACCAACAGGGACAACTTTCAGAAGACGACACAGGCCAAGGCATGCACTGCGACACTCTCCTGCCTCAGGGCCAGTGTGTCCAGTGTGAGAAGGGAAAATCCTCACACTAGTGAAATCCAGTGATACAAACAAAACCCCTTTGAATCGGTTCCCAGAACGGAACAGGTTGACCTCGTTTACAGGGAAATAGCAGGGAAGCACAGAAAACTTCCTCACCTGCAGCCCTGCCAATCAACCACTGGCTACATGGACTCTAACCAATTGTAGTCATCAGTTATAGTTTAACTAGTTAGCTGTTTACAGTGTGATTAGTTAATTGGCTACAAGGCCTTCTGCAACCTAAGAACAGTCGCTCCTGTGATAAAACTTAAGTCTCTCGGGCCCCGAGCAGGTACCCAGTCCAAATCCGTGCCCTCCCACACATTTTAACATGGGAGATGACCACTCGCAGGCCTGCAGTGTTGCCAAGCAGCTGAAATGGCAAATCAGCAACGTGCACCTCCATGGCTGGCTCCAGCCTTGGAGAGCCAGTGACCCTGAGCCCATAGTGCATGGCCCTGAGCTCTCAGAGCCAGCGCCCCTCAGCCCTTAGTGTTTACCATACTGACTACAATCAGAAAGTGTGAGCCCAAATAAATCTCTCTTTTAAGTTGTGGGTGTCAGGTATTATGTGCAGCTACAGAAGTGACTAAGTTGCCCAGGCAGGACTGAACTTTCTATCCTCCTGCCTCAGCCTCCCAAAGTGCTGGAATTATAGGCGTGTGTCACCATACCTGCCTCTGTCTCCACTTTGGGAGCCTTTATGGGGGCTGTGTTGATTACAGGTTCTTGTGTTTGGGGGCTATCAGGGATGTCAGCCATGGACCCCAGTCCCTCCCTAACCTCTGCCCTGTCGAGTGCAATTTCCCCATTAATCCCTCAGAGAGACTAAAGTGGCGGGAGTGAGGAACAGGTACTGTGGCTGTCATCTGCTTGGAAGGCAGAAGTAACTCCCAGAGTATGGCAAAGACTGGGATGAGTTGTCCCACGTCACCCTGGGGCAGCCTGGGGAGGAGGGAGGGCATGGCAGCAGCCTGTGGCCACCCCCTGCTGGTTCTTGGGAATGGAAGGGTGGGGACCTGCTCTCCCTTCTATCTCAGCAGCACCCTCAGGAGGTACTGGGAACACAGCCTGGGCTTCAGTCTCAGTGCCTGGGAGCAAAGGACAGGCAGGCCCAGTGGGTGGGAGCCGGCCCATAAGGAGACTGCTGTCTCTGCAAATTAAACAGCTTTACCAGGGCGAGGGTGTTCCACCAGCCCTGCCCTCCTGAGCCCTGAACAAGCACTTCCATTCCAACATGAGATGCCTCCTATTGCCCTGGCAGACCTCTGCCATCACTTGAAAAAACAGAGGATGCAAACCACATTCCTAAGCCATGACAATGACCGAGCTGAGCTGGGGCTGCCCTGGACATGGACCACATGCCGATGCTGTGCCCCAGATCCCACTGCCCCACCACAGGAAGTCCCCTGCCTGGCATTTCAGTTTGGAACTTCCCTTCTAATAACAGGGTTTTACTTGTCTGTCTCTATGTCTGCCCTTCTGAAACTCTTAACACCCTGTATGGTGTCTAAGGAGTACTTTTTGGAATAAATATAAAGCCTAATGATCTGAAAAGGCTAGGTTATGGGCAACTAAATCATTGCTACTTAAGCGTTTCAGAAGTGGGTGAGGAAAGGGTAGAGGATTCTGCAAAAGTGATCACTATTGGACAAGTAGGAGAGCCCATGATCACTGATTTCCTGCCCCACCTGGGTGTCCATCAGGTGGAATGGCCTCAAGGCCAATAAAACATCTGCCTCTGGGCTGAACCCCAGGAGCATCTGGGGCTTTGCAGATTTTCGAGTTGCTCAGAGGGTGGGTGTGGGGTGAGGGCAACCATGGCCAGCTCGCCCTGACCCATCTTCCCTGGGTGCCACCAAAGTGGACCTGACACTGCTCACCAGCATTGATTACCCACCATGGAGCAGGCACTAGAGTCACTCAGGAGTTAGTTGTTTGCTAATAAACGACTTACGGCAGAGCCAGTTCATTGTAAAGCAAAGATTCACAATGACCAGGTGTGACTTGGTAACCTTGGGGGTACAGAGAGGGTCACAGAGCAGCTATTTCACAAAAGAAGATATCTACACGGTCAACATAGAAGAGAGCCCTCACCAGGCACGATAGTGTATGCCCGTAATCCCAGCACTCTGGGAGCTGAGGCAGGAGGATTGCTATGAGTCTGAAGTCATTCTGGGCTGCAAAGTTAGACACTGTCTCAAAAAAACACCCTAAAATCAAACCAAAACAAGAAACAGTGACAAGGACAGATCTCAAACACACTGTGTTGAATGAAAGGGGTCAGGACAGTTTTTACTACATGATACCGTGTACATGAAGTTTAAGAGGTAAAGTCAGCAAAACAAGCCAGGGTGTGGTCACTGAGGTGAGGGAAGTGACTAGGAAGCAGCATGCGAACGTTTGGGGGCATGGGAAGTTCCTGTGAAGTTCATGCCTACACAGGACACGCATGACATGAAAATCCAGTGAGCTGGCCACCCAGGGCACAGGTGCTTTCTCCATGTAAACACACTGAAAACAAAAGTAAAAGCCCATGCTGAGCTGGCCAAAGCTCACCAGACAGAGCTTGCTCCTGCCCTTTGAAGCTGGTTCCCTAACCTGAGCTTTCAGCATCTGGGTCCCAGGGGCCTGGACTGTGGCAGCCACAGGCACCACGTTCTCCCAAGTTTGGTCATTTTACAGATGAGACACAGTCTCAGGTCGGTGAGATCCCTAACACATCCCAGGACACAGGACTCTCTGAACATAGCCACTGACTCCAGAGCCTGATTTCCTAACCTGCACCCTATGCGTTGCTCCTCAGGGACCCACAGATGTTTGCTGAGTGACTGAGCGAGTGATAGCAACCACATCCTTACCTCTTTGGCTTCATTCTGGGCTTTCATGTTTTCGGCAATGTACTTGACACTCTGGATGGCCTCTTTGATTTCTGGCGACAGAGCCGAGAGGGACAGCACTGCATCGACAGACTCAGAACTGGAGCTCCTCGTGAGGTTGGCACTGAAGTTGGAGATCTTCACCCTGCGGTGGTGGCAGTAGCTGCACGTTCCCTCCTGGCAGGGGTAGCCTTCCTTGCAGCCCTTGGACTCCACGTGGCTGAAGCAGTTCAGGTTTGAGAGCTCGGTGCCATTCAGGGCCCTTGGGTTCGCGGTGTGGCCCTGGCCACCAGCTGGCCTGGTCATGAACATGACCCTCGGCAGCAGGTCCAGGAAGACGGTCTTCACCCATGTGGGCATCGTGTGTGTGGTCGGCGTCCGGTAGTGCACATTGAGCACGAAGACTGTGATGACGATGGAGAGGGTGACAAAGATCATGGTGAAGAGCAGGTACTCGCCAATGAGAGGGATGACCAGCGAGGTGGACGGGATGGTCTCGGTGATGACCAGCAGGAAGACGGTCAGGGACAGCAGCACCGAGATGCAGAGCGTCACCTTCTCGCCGCAGTCAGATGGCAGGTAGAAGACGAGTACGGTGAGGAAGGAGATGAGCAGACACGGGATGATCAGGTTGATGGTGTAGAAGAGCGGCAGGCGCCGGATGTACAGGGAGTAGGTGATGTCCGTGTAGATCTCCTCGCAGCAGTTGTACTTGATGTCGTGCTTGTAGCCCGGGGCCTTGATGATGGCCCACTCCCCGCTCTCCCAGTAGTCCTTGAGGTTCATGGAGGAGCCAATCAGGACCAGGTCGATCTTAGCCTTGTCATAGGACCAGGACCCGAACTTCATGGTGCAGTTCTGGTAATCAAACGGAAAGTAGGTCACATCAATCTTGCATGAGCTCTTGAAGATGGCTGGAGGGATCCACGTCACCTCCCCTGTGTACTTAAGGAGGGCTTTGGTCTTGTCGTCCACCTGGAAATCCCCGACAGCGCTGTGAGGACAAAGAGGGGTTCGGTGACATGGACATACATCGTCATTGTCCTTTGGCCACGCAGCCCAGCCCACACACACCCACAGGGAAGTGGCAGTAAGGATTGGTGACACTGTGAAAGCAGAGAGCTAAGGGCGGAAGTGGCCACCCAGTCCCCACCCCATTTCCTGATGCCCAGGTGTTTCCCAGCACATTCAGCCACACGTGTCCACGTTGGGCATGTCACCAGCTGTTCCCCAACACACAGTAGCGGCTTTGGTGCTTAGACTCCCACAGACCAAACAGCATTTCTCTCCCCTGGAGACAGGTATCTAGGCAGCCTCTGTGAACATCTGTCACCCGCTATCCCCATGGTCTCCTCCTTTGGTCTCCACTGGGCACTCGAAGTGTGTGTGAGACCAGATGGCGGCACTAGAGGGGCTGCACAGGCCCCGTTCCTGAGCCTTGTGGGGCAGGTTCACTTCTGAGCCCTGCCTCAGTCTTGACCCCACCGTCCGCTGCACTTCTGTTCCTCTTGTTGATCCATAAGGAGCGACCAGACCTCCCGACTTGTCCCCTTCTCTTTCCTACCCACCCTGCTTGTTCCTGCTGCTTCTCCCTTCCTGAAAGCCACATGTGCCCTCTCTGCACAGAGGCAGGCTGATCTCTTGGAGTCATCTTATTGGCACACATGGGATGCTCTCTTCAGGAAGTGCACACAGGACACAGGACATGTTCAGTGCACCACTGCACATGGTCCATCTCAGCAGCCGGCACAGCCCTCTGAAAGTAGGCCGGTGGCCCTCACAATGCCCTCCCTGCCTGGTGGAGGTGCCCGACTTCTTGATGGGCCCTACTGGACTCCATAGCCCGTGGCACTCAAAGGCTTTTCTTGTCCCTGCCTGGGACAGGAAGAGCTGAGACAGGCCCAGAACCTGGACCCACAGGCATGTCTTTGTGGGGCTGGTATGAAGGGGGCTGCAGAAAGCAACAGGAGTGCTCCTACCCCATCCCACACGCACACTTTCTGTTGGTCTCCTCCCTGCACCTGGGTAGGCAGACAGTCCTCACAAGCCGCAGCTACCCCCAGCCCTGCTCCTGCTGACTTCCTGCCCTGCCAGGCTGCTGGTTCCCAAGCCCCTTCCCTCCTGCAGCAGAAGTGATGGGGCGGGGGAACCACGCAAGCCCAGTGAGCACCAGCCCTCATCAGCCACAGTGGAGCCCGTGGGGCTGGGCCAGGCAGAAGCTTCCTGAGCCACAAAGCATCATCAAGTGGGGGGGGGTCTAGGGGTGGCAAACCATGGCCACAGGGTCCCTGTTTTCCCAAATGCATTTGCACCGGATCAGAGCCACCCCCAAGTGCATCTGGAGCTGCAAGGGAAGAGCTGAAGAGCTGTGAGAGAGGCTGACAATCAAGTCTGAAAATGCTTGACTCCTGGCCTTCTCAGGCGCCTTGCTGCCCCCCGCCCCCCGCTAGTCAAGTCCGATGGGGGCTCAAGAGCAGGAATGTTTTACTCGAGATCCACAGAGCTTGGATGTTCAGAACCTGAGCCCCCCAAGAGAGGAGTCACCAAAATGTGTGTGTGCTGAGGACAAGCCCTGGGGTAGGTCTGCTGCGCTGCAGCACATCTCACTGGCTGAGGCTTCCCACAGCAGAAGGCCCAGGGCAATATCAGCAGTCACATCTGTGTCACCAAGAGACAGAACACTAGGACCCAGCTGGGGATAGGGACAGGCACAGCTCCTGCAGGGCCCTTGGTAAATATCTGTTAAGCATCTTCGGAGAATGAATGGGGAGGGAGGGAAAGAAGGGAGGGAGGGAAAGAA